GAGACAGGGAGGGAATTAGACAGGGATGAGATGAGACAGGGAGGGGATTAGACAGGGAGGAGATGAGACAGGTAGGGGATTAGACAGGGAAGAGATGAGTTGGAAGAGATGAGACAGGGAGGGGATGAGACAGGGAGGGGATTAGACAGGGAGGGAATGAGACAGGGCCGGGATGAGACAGGGAGGGGATTAGACAGGGAGGGGATTAGACAGGGAAGAAATGAGACAGGGAAGAGATGAGACAGGGAGGGATGAGACAGGGAGCGGATTAGACTGGGAGGGGATTACACAGGGAAGAGATGAGACAGGGAGGGGATTAGAAAGGGAAGAGATGAGACAGGGAAAAGATGAGACAGGGAGGGGATGAGACAGGGAAGGGGTGAGACAGGGGGGATGAGACAGGGAGAGGATGAGACAGGGAGGGGATTAGACAGGGAGGGAATTAGACAGGGAAGAGATGAGACAGGGAAGAGATGAGACAGGGAAGACATGATACAGGGAAGAGATGAGACAGGGAAGAGATGAGACAGGGAGGGGAATAGACAGGGAGAGGATTAGACAGGGAAGAGATGAGACAGGGAGGGGATTAGACAGGGAAAGGATTAGAGAGAGGGAAGGGAATATACAGGGAAGGGAAAAGAAATGTAAGGGATTAAAAGGGAAAGGGAACAGACAGGGAATGGATAAGACAAGGAAGGGAATAGACAGGGAGGTGACTCGGGAGAGCAGGGTGTCAGGGAAGGGATTAGACAGGGAAGGGATGAGACAGGAAGGGACTTGTCAGGGAAGGGATTTGTCAGAGAAGGGATGAGGCAGAGAGGGGATGAGACAGAGAGGGTGAGACAGAGAAGGGATTATTCAGGGAAGTGATGAGACATGGAAGGGATGAGGCAGGGAAGAGGTGATACTGGGAGTGGTGAGACAGGGAAGGAATGGGGCAGGAAGACGAGCAGTCCTGAGATGGTAGGCGATGCTTGACCGTCTGGATGCTTGACCGTCTGTACGCCTGATGTGGGCGGGGGGGGGAGGGAGGGTGAGGAGATCTTAAGTGTAATGGTGATGATAATTGACATAGTGTTAGTGTTAATGTATGATTTTCAGTGAGCCTACCCTGTTATTTTTATCGCATGATCCTTTGAGTTCAGCAAAATTATTAATCGTATTTTTTTTTCCAAGCATAACTTCTTTAATAAAACTTGGCACTTAGATATGTGTCTCTAGCAGAATTCGCAACGCTGGTTCAACGCCACTCATCGTCACGGACTCTTGGGTGGCACTTTGACATGTGTGTCCCCCATTTTAAACTTTTTGTACTCCTCTTCCAAACCAGGGGCGATAACCGGCTCGCCGTCGGCGGGGCCCTGCACCGTGTCGTGGGTCATGGAGCCGTGCGTCTGCTCAAAGTCGGGCAGCTTGGTCAGCGAGGGTGGCTCGACCCGATCGGGCTCCGCGGTCTGGGTGCCGTTGGTGTACTGCAGGTCGTCCAGGGCGTCGTCGTCGCCCCCGAACGAAGAAGAGTTTGAGTGGTCGAGCGACTCCCCCGCGCTCAGCTCCGCCTCACCGTTTCTACTCCTCATCATCTCCGTCTCCTGCTGGAGGCGGTGGGCCGTCCTCTTGTGCCCGTCCATGATCTGGTAGTGCCTCAGCGCGTCCATGATGGTGGGCCGCTGGCTCAGCTCGCAGTAGAGCCGGTGGTCCATCTCGAAAAACTTCATGAAGACCTCCTCGCCCTCCGCGGGGGCGTTGTAGCAGGCCAGCGTGAACGCCGACACGGGACTGATCGGCACCAGGGGTTTGGCCGCCTCGGTCACGGTGTGGGCCGCGAGCAGGGCCGCCCCGATGAGGGTCACAAAGATGCCAGCGGTGCTGAGGGTGATGCTGGCCAGGTAGAGGCTGTTGGCCCTGTTGTACCTGTAGGCGGAGAAGTGTTGACGGGCGTAGCAGTTGCAGAAGTAGGCGAGCATGCCGAGGATGGGGTTGAAGATTGCCGCCACCAGACAAAGGATTTTATAGTCTGGGATCTCTCTGAAAAAAAAAGAAAAAAATTGATCATTCGACTTGATTGTATTTAGGAGAACTTCATAAAAAGAACATCGTTGTGCAGCTAAATTAAACTAATATAACTCCAAGCCTCTGTTTGGAGAAAAAAGTATAAAAATGGAATCATATAAAATATGTTTATGTTTTATTACATAATTTATATCAAGGGTATTAATCATGGCGAGATTGACCCTAAATATAACGTCATTCCCTTGGGGGGTATTCGCATATCATAAAATATTCTTCTCTCTCCACTTGGGGGGGGGGGGGGGGGGGGGAGTCCCCCACCTTTAANAGGGAATTCCCACATCATTAAGAATTCCTATATCTACGCTTGGAGGGAATTCCCACATCATTAAGAATTCCTATATCTACGCTTGGAGGGAATTCTCACATCATAAAGGATTCCTATCTTTACACTTGAGGGGTGGGGGTGGGGGAATTCCCACATCATAAAGCATTCCTATCTCAACGCTTCGAGGGAATTCCCATATCATAATTGATACCAATCTAAGCAGCTTTGTAGAAATGTATCTCACCATTTTTTGTTCTGTGCCGTCTCATACAGGCATTTACACCACTCACCTGTTGGAACTAACATAATGCTGTCCAGTGTGCATGACTCACCTGTTGGAAGTAACATAAAGCTGTCCATTGTGTATGACTCACCTGTTGGAACTAACATAAAGCTGTCCAGTGTGCGCGACTCACCTGTTGGAACTAACATAAAGCTGTCCATTGTGTATGACTCACCTGTTGGAACTAACATAAAGCTGTCCAGTGTGCGTGACTCACCTGTTGGAACTAACATAAAGCTGTCCAGAGTGCGTGACTCACCTGTTGGAACTAACATAAAGCTGTCCAGAGTGCGTGACTCACCTGTTGGAACCAACAAAAGGATGTGACGCTTGTCTCTGTCCCACTTTGATCAATTCCATTTGGCTTGTGTTCTGCAGACGTATGGGATAATATTATTATCTGGGAATGCAGGTGTCAAAATGAAATTTTTTGTCAGCTTTAACTCATTACAATTATTTCAAGAGATGTTAGTGTCGTAGGTGTCAGTGCATCTGAGGCCTGGTAGTGTCATAGGTGTCAGTGCATCCAATGGCTGGTAGTGTCCTTGGTTTCAGTGCATCCAATGGCTGGTAGTGTCATAGGTTTCAGTGCATCCAATGGCTGGTAGTGTCATAGGTGTCAGTGCATCCAATGGCTGGTAGTGTCCTTGGTTTCAGTGCATCCAATGGCTGGTAGTGTCATAGGTGTCAGTGCATCCAATGGCTGGTAGTGTCCTAGTTTCAGTACATCAAATGGCTGGTAGTGTCCTAGGTTTCAGTGCATCCAATGGCTGGTAGTGTCCTAGGTTTCAGTGCATCAAATGGCTAGTAGTGTCCTAGGTTTCAGTGCATCCAATGGCTGGTAGTGTCCTTGGTTTCAGTGCATCCAATGGCTGGTAGTGTCATAGTTGTCAGTGCATCCAATGGCTGGTAGTGTCCTAGGTTTCAGTGCATCCAATGGCTGGTAGTGTCCTAGGTTTCAGTGCATCCAATGGCTGGTAGTGTCCTAGGTTTCAGTGCATCCAATGGCTGGTAGTGTCCTAGGTTTCAGTGCATCCAAAGGCTGGTAGTTGTGTCGGCGTTTGTGAATCCAATGGATGAAATTATCCACCTTCACCAGTGTTATTGAAATTATGAACTATTTTTCTTTCGTGGATCTACAAAAAAAAAATGTATCAATAATTCTCAAATTTAAATATTACCAACCCCCCCCCCAGACACACACATACACCAACACACCTCTATATTATACAATTTTCTGCATTATTGTATAGCAGGCGTTGGCAAACTAAGCCCCCTAAGGGCAAACTAAGCCCTGGGAGAAAACTAACCTGTCGGGGCAAACTAACCTCAGGGTCTAATCCAGTAAATTCAGTAATACATTCCCCTTACCTGGAGTGAAGGCTGGTTATTCCCCCCTTGACCACTGTCCACACTGGAAGGCAGG